AGCGATAGATGCAGCGGGCAAGGAAGCATTATCACGTGTACTGGCGGTGGAAGTTAGCAATAGTCCAACTCAGAATTGTCATTCGTCCAGATGTTTTTGATAGAAAATCTAGGGTTGTTATTGAAACGGAAAGAGAGCCTCCGGCACCCGTATTGGCCGAGTCAATTGCTAGCAAACCATCGGCACTGGCGGTCAGCTTCCACCGGATTCAGAGCAGGCAATAGCAGAAACGAAAGTGCTGGACGATTCGATTATGAATTCGCCAAGGAAAGGACATTGGAGCATGGATAATGAAGACCCTTTGGCATTCGTATCCGGAACCGCCGAAATTGCGAATATAAGCGGAGACTCCAGTGGTCCGATGATAAGGGTTGATCTGGATTTTGCTGATAAGTTATTGGCAATCAGCATGACGGAGTAAGATCACCGTTAAAATCTGTGGGAACTAGAAAGCCTGTAGGCAGCCGTCATTTGAAAACTTTAATTTTGCGCCGAAGGAGGGAAAAGAGGGTTGGGATACTAGCGGCTTTTGAGCTCTTGATACAGTTAAAACTATGTGTATATTATTAGAGCAGTAAAATTAAGTACTGTACATTATGAATTGATGCAGGGGAAGTGTGGTGAAAAAATTTGAGTAACATATGATAAATACGTATTATGTATGACATTGTTCTGTTATCAAAGCCAAACGTATAGAGGTTGCTGACTATGTGTGTTGCCATTGGAGCTTTTGTTGATAGAGAATTTAAGTTGTTCTTTTTAAGTTCTCTTTACGGTAATTTAGACATACACGTACCTTTCATGAGTATACCTCTACAAAAAAAATAGGGTGTTGCAGATATCGTTTGGAATCTTCTAGGTATCGCTGATAAGTAAATGGATAAGCCACTCAGAGTTTCGATGTTGTTTGCAATTTTACTGAACACTTCACGGTTTTAGTGATCAAAATTCAGTTACAATCGAATGAGCAGTCAAATATTTCTCCAATCTTAGCAATGTCTAAATCGCTAAAAACACAATATTTTTGTGTTGTAGAAATACACCGAATAATTTTTTGGAAGTTTATTTTATAAAATGATTTTTTGACGACAACTCCCATCCTTTCTTGTTTATTTGATTCCCATCTCGAGGAACACTAAAAATTAAGATTGAAGTTTTTATTTTTTCCGTGGTTGAATACAACGTTCTTTACGTGTTCAGTATCAATGTATTCACTACCCCAAGTTTCATTTAATTTTAAGTTTTCTCAGATCAAAACTTGACAAATTTATTGATAGTTTATCTTCTGACAAAAAAGGCCGTCGCCACTCCTGAAAAAAGGTTCCAAATCAAAATCTTTTTACAATCAAACAGAATAAGAAGCAGAAACAGCTTACTATAGCTTACATTTAAGCTACGCTGCCAAAATATCCGGCAAAATTTTTTTTTCTAAATCACTGAAAATTGAGCTACAATTTAAATCACTACGTTTACGCTACGCTGCTAAAATCTCCGGCAAAATTTTTTAAATCACTAAACTTGATTTTAAATGTTACCAAGAATCTCCTCTAAGTCGAAAGTTTGTTGGCCCGAAATAAAGATACAAATCAATTTGACTAACGTTTTTACCAGAACATTTAATTTAGGAACAAAAAAAATTGGAATTAGAGGGGTTTTGTCTGTATCGTATCCCTGTTTTTCTCAGCTGGGGTCTTCTATGATAATTGTGGGCACTTAGGTTAATTTACAGAATAGGGGTCCTCCAAAAAATACGGACCACTTCCTAGATTTTTCCTCTACGTGGGACCCCTTATTTTAGGCGGCACCCTCCCGTAAGTATTCGGTACACAATACAATACAAAATTTTCAAAAAATGAAGCAGAAGACAAAAATTTTCTTGTTTTTTTTTATTTTATGCCAGCAAACCACTTTTAAAATACAAAGGGTGTGCTAAGCGTCTCATTGTGATTTTTTAGATGTAGATCGTTGGTCTCAATTCAATTTGAAACGCATTAAATTGCCGCTGACGCGTTCTACAAGAATGCGAGATATAGCGCATTAGTTAACGCAATTAGCCGCACTAGCAATTTTTGAATCCTTGTAACTTTAATAAAAAACTATCACAGTTAAAATATATTTTTTTGAAACTTGAGATCAGTTTAAAAATATTTTGGACAAAAAAAAACTCGTTAAAAAGCCGTAAATTGACCGAATAAAAGAATAAGTATTCCGCTCTTTCTTTTGTTTCTTTGACTAGAGCATGTTCGTTTTAAAGTTCAGAGCTCCTCCTTTGATCAGTTAATATAGTCATAAACTAATTTGAAAATTGCTTCAATCATGTTTTGGAAAAACAGGCAACCAACCGTTAAAACAGCAACCAAATCGGACCATCCTTTTTTTATTAAATCCCGTTTGCTATCTTTGACATATCAGTGAAGCGTCTAATCTTATGGGTAGATCAGTATTGCAAGCTCCATTATGAAAAGAGGGATAATTCAACGAGATAAACAGAGTAGAATCAAATTAAGCAGAAAAACATATAAAGAAAGCTCATGAAACGTTCTTTTAAATGCCAGTTTATTAGCCTGTTAAATCTTCAAAGATCTTAAGGTGTCATGAGAAGATTATCTAGGGTCTTAATAAAGTCTGACAATTGCGCTGTTTTAGGAATCAATGGTAGCATTTGCTTCTCGAGTGAGTTAATTTTTGATGAAATGTTAGCCAAAAAAAAACTTCAATTTCAATTTCAATTTGTCAGAGAACAAAAATCGTATCACCCGCACTGGAGTTAAAAAAATCACCCGCACCAAAGATAAAAAACGATTAATATTGAATTTTATTGTCTATAAAATTGAAAAATGGATTATTTTGCCGTTAGTCAGTAAAGAATTAAAATATCCAATGCAAATGAATCAGGGGCTGATTTGGGGGGGAGGGTGGACGCCCTTTCTCTCATTCTCTCAGGGATTCGACCCCATGCCGATCCACAGGGTTCTCCTTTGTATTATTTTGAGATATCCCTTTTTGGCTGACTGAACCTAAAAATTTTCTAAAGGCGCAGAAAATTTCGTCAAAATGGGGTCTTTAAACTGATTAAGGAGATCTCAGAAAATCAACAATTTGGTCGACCTAAAAAAAGGTCGACAAAATTTTCGAAAATCTGCCTCTCGAGAAAATCCTAGATACGCCCCTGAAATGAATTATAATCAGTGATTTTCGTTTTCTATAGATACTCGGAGTGACAAAAAATGCTTACCATACAGTTGCATACTATGAGAAAAAAATGTGTATCAGATAATATCATACAATTCGATGGACCAAAAAAATGTATGAAAATAACAGTATTAGCATTTTTTCTATACTGAGAAACTTTACAACAAGCATTTTTGTCACGTTTTTGTCACAAAAACTATATAAAAAAGCAAAAGCATATTTTCCATTTTCTATGGAATTGAGTGATAAAAATTTTTTCATTAAATGAAAATGCAAAAAAAATTGCTTCAAAATTTTGTGTTTTATTCATAAACACAATAACCAAAAACTTGAATTATAAGAAAACTTAAAGTAAAAGGGGCGGTTACCACGCATATAAATTGCATCTGGTGATACTAGCCATGTAAGTTATGTAAGTTAATATCAACACTTTCACTCAGAGCTATATACTAAAAACTTAAATTTTTTACATGGCTGGAAAATTTTTACTTTGAAAATTTTCGTAGTTGAGAAAGGGGCCTAAATTTTTTTTACCAGTTTAAACTTATCTTAGCATATGAAAAAAGCAGTAATTATATTTTTGAAAAACACTTGCTTGTGATGTTTTTTTTGGTAAAAAACTCAACCTGTACTACTTTGTAGACGCAAATTAACAACTTTTTTGCGTGGCATTTTTTTTGTCGAAAATTTATTTGAGCACAGAAACGAGTTTGCAACCATAAAACAATCCACAAACTTTACCAGAAATTTGTAGTTTCATTCTATGCAAAAAATGCTTATTATACAGTTTTCATGAAATTGTATGATGAACGTTTTTTTATCATTTTTTTTTTCGACACCCAAATTGTTCTCATGTAACCAAAACTGCCGCTAATTTGTTTTGTTTGAATTTTAAATAAAACTTAAGATAATTTTGGAAAGAAAATTTTGATTGAAAATTTGTTTTTCTTTCAAATTTCTTTCATAATTTTCTATTGACTCCATATATGAAATTGTATGGCAAGCATTTTTCTTGTATGGACGTCAACTCGGGTAAAGACATTAAAACTTCCATATAAATATTTTTTTCGGTTTTTTAGATGCAAAAATCATTAAGCTAATATTTTAGATCAAGCAAAAATATGAAAAACAACGCTTGGAAAATTTTAGAAGGAGAAAAATCTCATCTTCTGACAAAAATCGTATCTTCCGACGACAACATTACGAGTCCAAACTGTAAATTTTGTGAATTTTGAGCGGATTCAGCAAAGCGAACGCCCTTTTTGATATACTTTTGTACTTTCATTCTCTTTAATCGTTATAGGACAAAATTTTAGTATATTTGTGTCTGGATTCCACAGACCTACACACACCAAATTGTGGGCCTATCGTGTGCATAGTTTGGCCTCGTTATGAAATGGATGAGGTTTTTTTTAAAAAAAGCTTATTCGCTTTAATAAAAAAGATTATAAAGTTTGTAAAGGATAATTGAACGTTTTCTGGTCTCTTTTTCATTTTAACCTTGGCTATTATTCAAAAATAGTGAACCATCGAAACTAAATGCAAAAATTTATTTCTCAAAAAAGCAATAAATCGCAGGCTTAATGCGTTTTGTGAAAGAAGAAACGGATTCAATTGAAAAGAATTTATATTGAGAGGTTCAGATTGTTCAATAGGTCTAATTTGAGTTTTGATGTAAAATATCAACGCTGTGAAACTTTTGTTTACCACTTTCGCAATAAAAATTGATAGTATTAAAAATTCTGAAGAGCGATCTTGAAAATAGGCTACGAATACCAGCCAAAATCAATTAACTAAAACGTTGAATTTGGGACATTTATACATAAAAATAATAAACAATTTTACATCAGTATCTAATCTTAATATACTTTTTTTTTCTTTTTTTCTCTGCGTGGCTTTTAAATGAAGCATTAAAAAAACAGCTACAACAATAAAGTTAACGCATGCATGGGATTCTTCTGAACAGTTTCGCCGCAGCTGTCGGAATTGTCGAGAAAATTCGTTTGATGTCTTGCTGGAATCGGTTTGAAGAGATGCTGTAAATTATGGGATTCGCGATTGCGTTGAAAGTCGAAAGGTTGTAAAATAATTTCAACAGAGGGAAAAACATGGAATTGGGCGAGAAGTAATCGGCCTCCATGACTTGCCAAATGACTTGAAAAATAGCTGAAGGGAGACAACAAATGATGAAAATCAAGCTCACAATGATGCACACTCGTGTTGTTTTCGTCTCTCGTTTGATGTTTTTCTTGATTTGAATCACTTTCTTGCTTTTGTCTTCCGGTTTGTCGTTTCGAACTTGTTCCATAAGTCGCATTCCATCCACTGGACTGCTTAGCATAATACCTTGACTGCGCTTTGGCTCCGGATTGTCAACTTTGATCTCGTCACAGCGCTCGTTCAGTCGTAGTTTCTCGGCAGGAACAGCAGCCGAGTTTCTACGTGCAGTAATGGACGACACACGGGTCGACACTTTGTTAGTCGTGTCGTTCACCCCGGCCGACAACAACGATGTCTTATATACTGGTAAAGGTTGCAGTCGCATGCAGCCGTAAGGGACATTCGCGGAACACGCCACCGGGGGGTTGCGAGACGCGGAAGCCGCGCCGCTACTTCCTCGTTTATTCCCCGAGTCGCTGGACTTGTTTTGGTTAGAGCCCGAGGGGTCGTCTTTCGGGGGAGCTCCAGACATTCGGTTATTTGCGGTGGTGTCCAGAGCCATCTCCGCATTAACCATGTGTCGTCGTAAGTTGTCGTATTGCCGAATGACGATGTATATTTGCGAGTAGACGAACACAATGACGACAGCGTCGACGAGTATGAGAAAGAAGGTGACGAAGTACATGTAGGTCATGAGCAAAAGTATTTGGCAGAAGCATCCGATTGTTATGGGGAGAATGAGCACTACGCAGGCTGATATTATTGCCACAACACACCACAGACATTTCCTAAAATAAAATTATCTGTGCCATTTTTCAAATTAATTAAATTATTTGCAAATAATTATTCATGAAGCCAGAGGTGAACTCAGTGGAACATCCCTTTTCCTTCAGGATTCCGACCTCTGGACCACCCAAATAATTGCCCATTCGTAGTTATTTTACGACATCCAATTTTGGTAGTTCAAGCCTGAAATTTTTCTGAAAGTTTGCGCGACCAGACCATCTCAAGATATGTTTCAACCATTTTGTCAAAAGTTTGGCAATTCTCAAATTTTTTTATTATCTCTTTAGCTTTTTGTTTCATTTAGCTTTTTGTTTCACACTTGATGGAGAACCCTGAAAACAAAGCAACAAATGTTGTCAAAGAGGGAGAGCACGCATAACTTTTTCGGATTTTTGGTTTTAAATTTCTCTTTAACTATTCCACCCACCTTTTGCAAAAAGGGGGAAATTAATTACTAGGTACAAAATTCATATTGCTAAACCGTTGCATTAATTCAATATAGGGATGAGAATAGTCGTTACTAAGTACTAGCGTACTTTTGGGGGGGGGGGGGGAGGAATAGTTAAAGAGATCTAATTTTTCAAACATGATAGCAATATCCACTGTCCAATTACTTACTCTCAAGAAGTTCAAAAAACAAGGTGAGGATTAATTTTGTTCGGTTTTGCTTTAGGGGTGAATTAATTAGACGAGAGTTGCTTTTACTTCCACACGGTGTCGGTTGGAAATCCAACTAATTTTCAGTAATAGGCTCCTTTTAAATTCAATTTCGAGTTTCCTTAGGATTGGGAAATCTTGGCATAATTTATTCGCCTCCGCGGTTTTGATGGTTCTGAATACGCCAAAATAGAGATTTGAAATATGTTAAGGCTTCTAATTGGCTTTGTGACGTTTGGTCTCTGGTGACTTCGAAAAAGCGTTAATCAAGTCGGGTCTGAACAGAAATCAAAACCGAGATATGAAACGTGAGTTGTTAGTCCTAGGCTACTGGTCCCAAATTGACAGTAATTAACAGTTGGGACCTGCTCAAATTGTTAAAAAATTCAAATTAGAAGTCGTCTCTTGAATAATAATTTACGCAGTTGTAGAAGAATTTTTGACAGACGCAAGGTTCCGATGAATTTTAAAGTGGCATGTGAGTTTAAAGTGGCAATATCAAAAAAACGCACTCGACTCAGAAATCACTTGACTCAAAAAACCACAGGTACAAAATATTTTTGAATTTTAGCTCAAGGCATCACTGGCGTTCAGATGGTATAAAACATTTCGTTCAAAAATGACGAAATTGGTCTTTTCACTTAAAAAGTCAAAATGGGTTTGGAGAAAAAAAAACCGCGCCGAGCACAAATATTCCGTCACTTTCTTCAAAAATTGGAATAATACTCACAAGGCTGTTCGAATCAGGGCAAAACCCTGAATGATTTGACTGACTCTCAAGTTCTAGGAGGTCATCTTGGCTTAAAAATTTGATTAATTTTTAAGAAAGGAAACACCATTAAATTTAAAAAAAAGGAAAAAAGGAAACAGTTTTCAGATTTTTTTGAAAGCCACCTCCTCAGACCCTATGTAAAGCACAAGGTGATATAGTTTGCGTAACGCTTTCTAAAAACGGAATTAACCTCCGCTGACGCGTTTATAGCACGGAATCTATTACGCAATGATTATCCCAAATTGGTCAAATTGACAATCCTTAACCCCAACAAGGTTGATCGTGTATATTACAAGACCAACAAGAAAGCCCTGATTGTTCCGACTTCCTCTTAATTCATCTCGACTAGTTTTTTGGAAAAGCATTATGAGGTGAAAGTGTCCACTGGATAGACGCAAATTTTGTGCCTGTATGTTCCTGTATTGCAAGGACAAGTCTTTAAACATGTTCAAGTTTTGTCGAAACAATCAAAGAGATTGGAATAACAAACGAAGAACAAAGGGAGTGGCATTGTTGCGGAATTCGCTAACAAATCACAAAATACACAGTTTGGCTTTGTAATGAGAAACTAATTGAAAAAACTATAAATTTTGGACATTATCAAAGGTCAAGTGTAAAATTTGATTTGTGCAAAATTGATACGACCAATTAGCTAGCCTCAATTCAATTTGGAACAATTTTGTTGCACTGGTTACGCTTTCAATATTTTGAATAAAACTTTCAAAGCGCTCGTAAAATAGTTGAGAGCATGGCCAAATTGACATTTTAAAACTCCCAAAACTTTGCATAAAATGATCGGAAGGAAGCTTAGATAAATTTGGTTTCGGGGAGTTGATATCTTCACTATGGCATCAAAAACTTTTTTGCATAAAACTGTTATTTCGATCGCCGAAAATTGACTGAAAAAAAACCACACCAATCATATATATTCCGTTGACTTCAAAAGTCGGAACAATAACTTGATAAGAAAATGATATGTGAAATGAATTTTTAAATTTAAGATCAGGGTAACAATATTTTTCTGATGCTATTTAAAAAAAATTAAAAATTGCTAGTCAAAAAGTAATCGAAACTTGTCTGGAGAGAAAAAAACACCCGGGCGCAAATATTCCGTCATTTTCTTCGAAATGCGGAACAAGAAATTGTTTCGAAGTGAGGTCATTACACTAACGAAATTAGAAACAAGAAATTTTTTTTTACAAAATATCACCTGAGAGAGTGCCATAAGACTAACCAACTAGCCTGTTTTCAGGCGTCTCAGAGCCTGAAAACCAATAGAGGACCATTCTATAATGCTGAGCCTTAATTTGCATTGATCGCCACTTCACCATCGCTCTAAAAATAATTAGAACTGATTTTAGGAGTGATCAGTCAAGTATGGATGACGTATGTTTGGCGAAGGATTAATTTTCAAAAATTTGGTTAATATTGGTTCTATATTGGGCACTTTTTCGCTCACTTCACATGAGCATAATATTCTATAACGAGTACTTTTATAAGACAAGGTACTGAGAAGACCAATGATGTTTTTCGTGGCCTAATTAGCATGCATACCAATCATAAGAGGTCTAGACCACGTGAACTGATATGGAATCATGCGTGAGAGTATCAATAATTATGCAGCCGAAAAGACGGATAATTCTGCTTAAATTAAATTACTTCTGGTGGAAATTGGGCATCCATTCAAGCTTAATTTATCAAAGGCAACGGAACAATTGAATTGATTCTAAGCCAGGAAAACTTAGAAAAAAGCGTTTTTGGTCTGCCCTGATATTTATTTTCAAAAAGAAACGGAACAATTTATAAAAAATAATCCGTTTTGATTTCAGACAATCCACTAAATAAAACGACAAGTCCTGCAGCGAGTACATCTCGCAATCCTGCTTATTGTTGAGAAGCTGAATAGAAGAGCCTGTATGCTGAAAGTCAACTTTTGATATTCAATCATTAGCCAAAAAAAGAACACGCCCATTACAGAAAACAAAACAAAGGTAGTCGGTGACTGTAAACAGTAGTTCAAAACTTTCCGAACAAGCTAATTAGTGCTAGAAGTGGAAAAAAGTTGTTTTTTTTGCTTTTTTTTATAAATTTTGCTTCGTCTTCCTGTGTAATAACAAGTTTTGGTCTAAGTTAATTGAGATTCCAAATAATTGCAAAAAATTGGTTCAATTAATTGGTTTCCAGGGATTTCAAATAATAGATAATTGATTGAGCGAGGTTCAGTGAGTTGACCAATTATAGGCTACCTTAACCGGGGACCCGCCTATAAGCATGTTGATGAAAAGCCAAAATAAAACATTTGACTGCAAAATTGGATCAATATTATTACTAATAAAGGCTGGCTATCAATATGTCACAGTTCAAAACGAAGCCATTTCATCAAATTAATCCGATTTTTGAAGAAAACGGAATAATTATGCTTGGTGTAGTTTTTTTTATTATCAGTCAAAATAATTAAACACCATTGAAGATATTGAACGCTTGAATAAAAATGTAAAAGATATTTTTACCTCCAATCATTTTTGCAAAGTTTTGGGAGTTTGAAAATTGCCAATTTGGCTATGCTCTGGACTAATTTATGCGCACTTTGAAGATTTTCTCCATTGTCCTGAAAACTTAAGGCGAACTATTTATGCGTGGCGATTTATCCCGCTTGACAAAATCGTTCCAAATTGAATTGAAGCTTACAAGTCGGTCGTATTAATTCCGTACGACTCAATTTTTCACACCTGATTTTGGTGGATATTGTCGAAATTTACAGTTTTCAAAATTTTTTATTTTCCCAAAAAAAAACTAATTGATATGGATTAAGGGGCAGTCGAAACATTGAGGGCTGTGCCCAGATATAACGAGCAGTCTTTTTTGCCTCAAACAGGTCCTTTTTTTCCTGTTTTTGTTTTGCCGTTGTACTCATATAAATTTCACAAAATTGAGTTCAAATACTCTCTTAAATGCCGTTTAGTTCCTATTTCTGCTGTTTTTAGAGCTGCTCCAACTCTGGATATTAGATCAAAATTTGTCTATACTAGTAATATCGATCAAAGTTTTGTCAGTTTTTTTTCATTTTCATCAATTAGGGGGGTTATAACTGAAATGACCCTGCCCATGTATAAAGTAAGGCTCGCTATAAAGGCTTGCTAATTCACAGACTTCAGTCTAAGTGGTTTTTGCTGGATTGCGCAGTCATCACATACAAAAACGAACGCCCGGATTGACAAAAACTCTTTATCATACAAATTTCATACTATGAAAAATGCTTGTCATACAGACCAGAAAAAATTCTACAGAAACAACAAAACAAGACTGCTCGTATCAGGGCGAGGTCTTGAATGCTCGGACTACCTTTTAAGGTCTATGGAGCAGTAATAACATGAAAAATTAATGTGTAAAAAATATATATTTTTTTTTAATTTGAGATTTTGCGAAAATCACCTCCCCACACGCCATATTAGGTAAACAATGAAAAAATTTCGCTGCTAGTAACAAATCAATTATGACAAATAAGCTTCCTTCAACCATTTTGAGCGATTTCTTTGACGGTTTAAATCTCCACTACCGCGTTACTAGCGCAAA